ATCAAATCATAAAAACAAAGACTTCTACAAATCTTCTAGCAAGAACTTTTGCTCAAAGTTCTCTTTTTGCTCAACCTCCTCATTAACTTATTGACTTCAACCAATTTCTTTACAAATCAATTACATTATCTATAACTTTGTTCCAATAACTTTATTGATTTTTATTAAATCTCTTGAATTATCACATCAAAATACTATCACAATATTATACAAAATAATTTTCTGGTTCGTTATGCAAATGAAAACTCAAATTTGAAATAACAGATACAAGATTCAAATTCAAAATGACAAGTCATGTCATATTTTCAAAAAGCAAAAAAAATTAAACTTTTACGTCAAAAATAAAGAACATTCATAATATAGCTTATTCTCATATATTTTACTTAATAAGTATTACTTCAATTCAAATCTCTGCATATATGAATTCTTACCAAAAGAACACAACAATAGTAATTATTCTAAATCTTTCACATCTATTTTCTATAACAATATTAACATTACCAATATTATTAAATTAAAAACCTTCAGTGACAATTTGATATATCTCCTAAATTCTGTGTAAGCTTCAACAGGTCACTGGTGATTAGTCATACTGAACTCTTTCAATATAGATTTTTGGTAGTTTATAGTAATTTAGTTCTTATTCTTCATATTATATATATTAGATTAGACACTACTATAAACAAAACTACACTTTAGCAATAAAAAAATAATAATTAAAATTGCAATAATTAACAATTAGTAATTTTGGAAGAATGAAAGACACTAACAATCAACATGATAATCTCTCAATAAATCAAATCCAAAATTTTTTTGCCAAATTCAAACAATATTTTATCAACAAAAATTATCTACATGGAAGAAACAAACTCAATCCAAATTAATTATAACAAGTTATTAAAATTACTAAAGTTAAAACTGTTCTATATAATGAATATTCAATTAGATATTTTGATATTAAAAATATATACTATTACATATATTAAAAGTATTATTGGTTTCAGATATATAAAGATTTAAAAAAATTAATATAGATTTTATTGAATCACTTTCATCAATATATAATAATAATCGCTATATCATTATTACCATTAATTATTTTACAAAATAAGCTAAAACAAAAACCATATCTAATACTGCTGCTGCAACTATAGTTTCATTTTTATATAAAGATATTATATGTAGATATGAATATTCAAAAGAAATTATTTTTGATAGAGATACAATATTTATTAATATTCTAATTGCAGAACTTCTAGAAAGATATCAAGTAAAATATTAATTCTCAGCATTTTACAATTCATAAATAAATAATCTAATAGAATACTTAATAAAATAATTTGTATAGTACTCACAAAAAGCAATATTAGAAGAATAAATAGTTTAAAGAGCTTGTAAAATTATTGATTAACTAAAAGAAGACTATAAATTAGCTCTATAAAATATTTAAAAAGCACAATTAAACAAAAAGAACATTATAACAAAAATAAAACTATTCAAGTATTTGAAATTAAAGATAAAGTTTTAATGAAATAAATGGAAACTCAACATTGGTATTATAATAAATTTGGAAAAAAATGAAAAGGATTATTCTATATTTATGATAAATTTGACAAAGAAACTTATAAATTACATATACTTAATAAAAACATCTTGAAGAATCTATATAATAGTAATCATTTGAAGTTTTATATTGAATTGAACAAATTAGAGTTTATTATAATCATTTGAATTTTTCACAATAAAAATCTTAAGTAGAGAAGGCTATTTTACAAGTTTGTTCACTAATCATTAAATTAGTTTACAAACGAGAATCTGGATTGGAAGAGGATATAAATTGATAAAGAAAATATTAAGAGAGAAAAGAGATATCTAAGGCCTATGCCAATTTCTACAGAAATTGTGTTTATCTAAAAAGAAGTAATAATGTAGAAAAGTTATGGGAGAGTAAAAGTCGAAGAGGAAAGAGAATAAAGAAGATTTAAAGGGGAATTCTATACTAGCGTAAAGCTTTTCAGAACTAAAGATAATATGATTAGTAATAACTGTAACAAAGATTCTTTCACTTTGTTCTTCTCACGAGTGAGAAATATTCATTAACAATTAAAAATTCAAGTAACAAAAAATAAAATACTTATAAATCCAATTTCAATAATTTCCAATATAGTGATTTGTTCAGCACAATATGATATAAAGCTCAATAATTTAATAATAGCAATTTGTTTGGCACAATATGATATAAAGTCCAAAGTCAATAACAGCAATTTGCTTGGCACAATACGATATAAAGCTGTCAGCAATTTGATAGGTTCAATACGATATAAGACCACTTATACACAAGATTTGAAGTATATAAAGAAAATATGAGAGGTGGAAAGTATTTGGAGGAAGATTTTTGTTAAGAGAGGTTTTTATTTTCAGTTACAACATATTTTTCAATTTACAATATATCGAATTAAGACTCAGATAGTGCCTCTATTTATATATTTTTCGAAAATACAATTTTAAAATATAGTAATATTACACATTTTTCACTAATAGGATAATTAGCTAATAAACGTGAACAAGAGTTAGGAGAGATAATTAAACAAATATAAGAAAAATATGAATAATCAAATTATACTCAATTTGTTACTTATTTTATTTCACAAATTGAAAATAATTCCAAACTAGAAATATTACTCAAGTATATAAGTTCTATCAATCTTACATGTTCTGAACACTATTTTGCATTTGACAAGGTATTAGAACAATTTGGAATAAAATATATTAAGCAAAATATTGGTTAGCATTTAGAAAATGCCAATAATCTTAAGTTACAAATATCATCTGTTCAAGCAGAGTGTGAAGATTAAATTTATTACTTAGTGAATATGTAGAAGATAATTTTATAATACATAGTGAATATAATATAAAATTACAACAAAATGCATTATGAAAGCTTGTTACAGAATTAGAATCAGTATTTAATTTACAAGATCTATCTAAACATGATTTATTCTATGAAACTACACAAAATAATGAGAAAGGATTTAAAAATCTTTTTAAATGTTACAAAATAGGAAAACAGCAACTTTTTAAAATTTATAAACAAGATGTTGAAAAGTCTGAAAAACATATAACAACTGGATGCCGAATCCAAGAGATTGTTATTACTTTATTTGCTCAACAAAGTAAAGAGCAAAAAATTTGCAAAAGTGAAGAACAAAAGTCACAAACTGATGAAATATAAAAATCTGGTTAGTATTGATTTTATTATTTATTATGCTTGTTTTTTAAACTAAGTTTATTATTATAAATTGTTTTTTGTAATTAATTTGGAACTACTACTAGATGTGATTAACATTACGTTAAGTAGTTAAGTAGTTAATTATGCTAATAATTAAATCAAATAATAATTGCATAATAGATTTTTATAACCTTATTTAGATTTTTATAACATTATTTTATATTTAAGACACTGACACTAATATTTTAGTTAGTTTTCATTTTATATCTTATAATTTAGTTTTATTATTATTATTAACATTAGGATTTTATTAAGTGATTTTATAAGACATGAAGTATTAATAATTAATTAATATGATTTTATTTTTGAATATTGTTTATAAATATGTATATATCGATATAATACAAATTTTATTATTATAATATTAAATAAAGTTCAATAGCTTTACAAAATAATTTATTCAATAAATACATGCGTATAAATCATTTTTAATTAATTTGGAGAAGTATAAGAACTATTGCTATCGCTGTTTATTTAAGTCGTGTATCACAGATGTGTGCAGTAAAGCTTTTTTTCTTTTTTTCGTGACACTCACAATATGCGAACATATGATTTAAATGAACATATGAAATAGATAATTAGAATAATTTTTTCGTCATTAACAATTGTAAGTGTATTGATTGTCAGTCTCAGATCGCAATATAACATTATTTTATTATCGTTATTTATCGTTATAAATTATAAGATTATGAAAAATTAAATGTATCATTTATATTAACTTTAATAAATTTTATTGGAGATATATAAATAAATATATATAAAAAAATAAGAAAAAATAAACCTATAAAAAATAAAAATAAATAAAATCTATAAGTCTAAACCAATTGTACGATGATACGTCAAATTTTGTCTCATCTTTAATTACACCCTGGCCTGTGCGCAAGTAAATTTCGGATTCTTTTTCGTTCAGGGTTTAAAAGATGTAATGACGGACGGTCATGCTAATGTCATCCCATTTTAGTTGGGTTATTTCTTCATCGTATTTAGGGCCACGCGGCGTTTCTGAATTGTATAGAGAACTGTACTAAATTTATGACTAAAAATTTTTTGCTCCTGAAAACGGTAGGGATATCGTTGGATATCTCTTCAGGTAAGGTTTTTGACCAAAGATTTAATTTCGTTAAAAAAAAATAGATAAAGGTCATATCGCTATGACCGGTCCGGTATAATATTTGACTATATGCGCGCGTATTTCTCCATCTCTAGTTTAGTTAGAGAATCAGTGGGTTTTTAAATATTTAAGTGGATTCTCAAGCCAGTGTTTATTTTTTCATTATCATTATCAGGTAGAGAAAATATTAATGCTCTGGGATTGATAGCAGATGAGATGGTTATAATTTGATATGCAAAATAAAAGATAGCTTTTTGTCTTTCAATTCGTTTTACCATCATGTGTTAATGAACGAATGACCAAGTTGTAATTTCACAAACACAAAACAAACCAGGTATCAAAAAGAACTCAAATCAGGTATAGATCTTTAGAGAAGCCAGAAAAATCAATAATCTACATGAAGTGAAATCACCTCTATGGATATCAACGTCACAATTGTGCAACATATGTGGTGGTAAGTTTAAAATTTAATGTAACATGATACAACAAATAGCGAAATTCAATTCATGTATTAACATGTATAAAATACACAGCAAGCCAGGCAGGTTATGAGCTGCCAGACATTTCAAACTCGAATATTTATCATCAACGTTATTATTCATGATTTTGTCATTTTTCTTGCTTATTTTCTTGGCTTTCGTGGCCTTCGTCCAAGCATTAACACCAAACTCAGGCTTCTGCAAAGATTTTAATATTAGGAAGAAGCGCCTTACAAAGATTGCTGAAAGACAGCATTTTTATTATGAGTATGATGATAAGGCCGTGCCCCCACCAACTGTAGTCATTGAAAAATCACTTCCAACGCCTACCACCCCAGTGAAGAAATTTACGGTTGACCACATCTTTGAGATACAAATTATCAAAGATTACTTTAAAAACTTGCTGGATACCAACAATGCTGATGCCATAGCCTTATGTGAAAAAATCGATAACAGCCCCAAAATCGGCGACTTCCCAGAACTTCTGGATGATCTCAGAAATTTTATGAATGATGGGATTAACCTGCGGCTCCTTACAATAGTGATTAATGATGACAAAGGGAAAATCTTCGAAGGAAGTGTCAGAAATGTGATTCCAGAACACGAAGAAGCGATAAAAAGTTATTTTAAGTATGTCCGAGAAGCATTTATTACCACCCGTGATACAGCGATCTTGTGGTTGTGTGGAGTTGCAGATGGTCTTAATCTCAAGATTGACGTTGGAACCTCTTTCAGCCAGAAATCACGCGATTTTTATGGGAAATTGACTGGAGAGACTTTAGATGATTTCGCTTGCGTGGATCTTTCTGGTTCTCCTGAGCCCGTGACTATACCTGTGTCCTTTGATGTTACTATTTCATCTACTACGGATGGTGTTAGCACCCTTAATGTTGAAGAAGTGAAAAATCTCACTCGATTCGTTACCTATTCAGCAGCTGCCTACTGTTCAGACGTGATCGCTGATTGGAAATGCGGAAAATATTGTAACGATATTCCTGGTACAAATATTACGAAAATTATTTCAGCAGCAGGTTTAGGTTTGTTTGAAAAGAATTTTCTTAACCAATTAGTTTAAATGAGTTTAATAGTTAACTTGCGTGGATGTATATAAAAAATTTTAGACACTATATTTCAAACTTTTGGATTTATTTCCATCAACAAGAATAATCGTGAAATAGTCATTACATTTCGTGGATCGATTAACTACTTCAATTATCTAGCCGTTGCTAATGTTGCACTTGTCCCATACGGCACGGATCCTTCGATAAAAGTTCATGGGGGCTTTCTTGCATCTTTCAACTCACTGAGAAAACAAATGCGAGATGAGATTACCAATTTGATTAATGTATATCATAGTTATGAGATCATTGTAACGGGACACAGTTTAGGAGGAAGTACGTATAATCGACTACGTGTTATGCCATGTGTAAAATTTTTTTGCAATTTTACAGATAATAATTGCCATATAAATTATATGTTAATATAAACTTGCGTTATACAAGACATGGCCATACTTGCTGCCCTCGACATTAAACAACTCCTTAATGGCACCAACCCTCGTCTCTATACTTATGGCTCCTTACGCCCTGGAAATTCAAACTTTGCAAGTTTTGTGAATAACAATCTGGCATGTTTGACTTAGAATAATTTAATTTTATTAATGACTTCACAATCACTAAACAATCACTAATGCAGTAACTGAATTTGATGATAAAACAGAGCCAAATTAGAAGAGTCGTTAATATGTTAGATCCTGCGCCTCACTATCCAAGTCCTTCACGCTATGAACATCATAAAGGGGAGGTTTGGATTACCAATTCTAATGGTTCGGCGGTGGTTTGTGAAGGCAACGAGAATCCAGTAAGCTGACTTAAATTTCTTATATCATTCCAGATGACTTTCACAAATACTAATTTCGAAACTATAGCTTTGTAGTTTGAGCGTTAAAGCACAGCTTCGGAATGTCTTCAAGTATCATAACGGACCATACTGGGGTGTACTCATTGATGCTGCTTTGTGTGGAAAAAGTAGCAATAAAGAAACTAATACTAGTCTCTAAAGCTCTGTTCGGGTCGGGTCGGATCGGATTTGAGGTCAACCCGAACCGATAATTTCGGGTCGGGTTTGATCCGAAAATCGTAAAATAATTTTTCGCTAATAACTTTTATTTTTACTAAGACACTTGTATTTTGTGTCTAAGTAGAGTTGTTCGGAATTTAATTGTGTATATGTCCACAAATTTTCGTTTAATTCCAATTAATATTGAACGAAAAGTAACGATTTTTAGGCTGACCCCAATCCGACCCGAAATGTGCGTTCCGGGTCGGGTCACGGATTGAACCCGACCCGGTTGGAGCACTACTAGTCTCATCTTATAAGTGCACTTTAGAGCAGTCAGAATCTATTTTTGAAAAAGATGTTTGTATGGTGTGGGAAGTTTAAACTCTACAATAAAAATGATATATTTTTAAAATATTTCAACACTTTACAAAATGGAATTTAGAAATTAAACCAGTATCTTTATTTTTTAAGATAAATTACTGGTCGAATTTTCAAAAAAAAGCTCTAGATAAACTTGGTCTAAATTTGAAACAAATCACGTGAATATTTATCACATGAACGTGATTTATTGGTTTGGCATTTATTATAATTCAGACTGTCACTATGCTAATGCTAAATTATCATAGTGCCAGCCCGATAATATGGTAAGTGTATCGTCAAAAATAATGATCAATGATATTGCTATCGCTATTATCAAAAATAAAGATATGACAAATCAACTGTTTGTAATAGCACGCTAGTACAGTTGGTGACATAAAGATTCAGAAATTTATTTGTATTTATAAAAAATTTTATTTACTTATTTTTTAATAATAATTTTTTTAAAAATATAGCCAAATACATAATAAATATAATTATAATTATATAGCTACTAATAATTTATTTCTTTCCAATGTTGGTAATTAGCTCACTAATATGATTTTTTTATGCTTCTTGCTAATTTAAGAAAGATATCAGAATCGATATTATTCCATTCTTGTCTAATTATTTCTTGAAATTCATTAACAGATGAATTTTTTTTAATTATATGAATATTAACTTTTTTTTTAACTTTTCGTTTAAGTATTGTCCACAAATTCTCGATAGGATCCAAATTGAGAGAGTTTGTAGGTCAATCAATCACACGAACTCGATGTGCTTCAAGAAGATTTTTTGTATCACCAACAATATGAACAAAAGAGTTATTCTGTTGAAAATGTTATTTGGAACTAGCTTTATAGGCATTTGGAAACAGATAGAATTCAAGAATTTCGCAGTATTTATGATAATTTAAATTTTCCGTAAATAAAAATAATGTAATCGGTCTCCATAAAGAAAATGCACCCCAAGCATGAACTTTGTACAGATGTTTTACCATGAGTTGATATGGACATTGATCTCCACAATGATATCGTACTAATAATGTATTCCGGAACATTTGAAGTGTGGTTTCATTCGAAAAAATCATTTGGTTACAGTTATCGTTGATATATTTTTGATCCCACCGGAGAAGAGAAGCAATATGATCTGGATTGAGAAGTGGTCTACAAATGATATATTTAAGATTTTTTTAGAGTGTGTTGAATAGTATGAATAGATACGTTAAGATTTGGATTAATTTCGGTAAGCCTATTTTTTATTTCAAGTGTAGAAATTGCTCGATTGGTTTGAACGAGTTGGTCCAGATGATGACGATTTTGAGTGGAGAGAATGGGAGGTCTTCCAGGAATAGGACAAAGTATAATTTTGCCATTTTCTTTGAGATTTTTAACAAGGTCGTGAATAGAGAATTTGGAATAACCTGTGATTTTTATGATTTCAGCAAGTTTTCGGATATTATTTTCCCATAATTCACTTATAACAGTTCTTTGTTTCTCAAGAGTAGTGTTACGTGATATTGTTTATTAACAAGTACTAATCATAACAAATAAAGTTGGTATAAATTTATATACGTTAGTATTGTAGATCATGAAATGTTATATAGTGAAAACAATTTTTAAAAATAATACAAAAATGACTTACCTATGATATTTTTTGTGTATTACAAAAAAGTTTGAATCTTTATGTCGCCAACTGTACATATCGATATATATATATGTGCGTATTTGATTTTAGCAAATTCATAACAGGTTCGATCACGATTGGAATAATATGTAAATCATTAACCAATATAATTGTCTGGACTAATGAAAAGTTAACTAGTTTGTAAAACGAGGTTTAAAAAATATTATAGTTATTGTAATGATAATTAAATGATTAAAAAGTAGAAAACTTGAAATTTAATTCTAATTAATACTATAGAATAGATTAATTAGTAGTGTTATTATGTTGTAATAATGTCAAAAATTTGGTTTTTCGCCTTTTTACTAAGAAACCTATAAAATTAAGGAACATATCCTATGACCGTTATGTCATCATCATAATTATTAAAAAATGATATTCTTTCATCATGTAACTTCGAGTGTTTCCAGCACTTTGAGTTAACTTAGTCATTTTACGCTGCTTGTACTTTTTGCGAGTACCTTCTGTGCTTTGTTCAGTTACTTGTGAGCTTTCTGTTTGTGAAATATTTACTGTCTGATATCATTAACATTTCAAAATGTATTTATTTAGTCTCACGTATGATACTAGTAATAAAGTGAAGACCAAAAATGGCAGATCATGTGATTCCGGTCCCGATACCGACCATCCTTAAATTATAATGCATAATATTAAATAGAATTTCGGTTAGGTAGGGTTAGGTTTAAAGTTAAGGTTATCGTTATTGTATAGTGGGCAGGAGTGTAATATAGTAAAAATTTGCAAAGAACATTTTTTATTAAAGCACAAACGATAGTTTCATAGGCAAACTTTTAAGATACAAGCTATTTTTCAAAAATAAGCATTTGTTTATGTTTGCGTTGCACATTGATCTTGCGATTTGATTGGTGCATAATTTTAAGGGTAGATCGGATGGTCGGCATCGGGATCGGAATCTCATGATCTGCCATTTTTCTTGGTCTTCACAAATACACGTCATCAAATTTAATATGACAAAAGGATTACAAATACAGTCAACTCTGGTTACAGTAACGTGATCGGGGGAGAGGTTTTGGTGATGTTATAAAGCAAATCATGTTACTATAACCAACATGTTTTTGTATTATAAAGAAATTACCGTAACCAGCTCTGACTGTACACGTCATTAGATCTAATATGACAAAAGGATAATGTGTCAACCAATGCTTTTAAAATTTTCTTCGACCGAATTTCTTCGTTCGGTTACTAATTATAGTTTAACCGGTTCAAATCACTAATTTACGAGCGTTTCAGTATATGGAATCAAAATTTTTATGTCCTTAATGTCAATGGCATACACTTAAACATCGTTATAGTGAAGACACGGGGGTGGAGTAAGAGAAAAATCTTCACTATAGCTTACATCCAGAGGATATAATATAGCTTCACTATATCGAGTTGAAGTTTATTAATGATTCTAAAAACATTCATAGATCGAGAGTGAGTTGTATATGTTTTGTTACATGATTAGTGAGTTGTCCTCTAACGACGTTGACTGAAGTCGATAAGTTGGGCACCAATTGTTGTATCAGTATTTATCACTACGCTTTATGCTGGTAAATTATTTGGCTATTCTAACAACTTATCATACTCTCGAGATATGTATTAAAACATATGGAGTGTTCCGCTCACTGATAATATGATGATAATAATGTTTATCGGAACAATCGGATTTAGTACGAACATACGAATCGATTGCTCGGCTATAGAACGTCCGGGACTTTGAGATCCATCAAACTCAGCTGGGAATTACTTTATATATTAGCGGTCGTTATTGCATTTGCTAATTTTTCATCAGGTAATGATTTGAATAATTGTATAATATTTCTTTTGCATTATCCGACTAAATGTAAGAATTATTACTGGCAACGGGTATTCAGTTCCAAAAATGATCGCGAACTCCGGATATCAACTGTTTACGGTGGAATTATACTGTTTATTGTTCTCTTTTTTGTCGGGTTCACCCGCCTGTATTATCGCGATTTGGGCAAATCTTTGTTGTAGTGATGACTTGCCAGGCGCAGGTGCATTATTTTACCTGATTGTGATACTTCTTGATTGGGTTGTTTGAATTGTGATTGTGATTGAGCTTGTTGTGGCATTGAGTTGTTCAGCATATGATATTGTTATTGACTGATTTATCAGAATATTTTGAACTTTTCTTGATTAATTTAAATATCATAATAGTAGGAAAATCATATTGCTGTTTGTCGACCACCAGTACTTCCAGCTAAAAACTGTCGAAGCCAAAACCAAAGGAGCCAACGACTCTTTTTTGTTATTGATCCGAGCAGATTCCTCTTGGGTGCTGCCAAATTAGAATTAACACTGATAAATCTATTTTGGTCGCTATAATAAAATCATCATTTCATTTTCTTTTCGATAGAATGGCCCGCTGTTGTAACAGACTTTGACTTATATGCTTACATCACAGAATTAAATATAACAATAAAGTCTACCAAATTATTTAAGAATCGATTTGCGTTGCATTGAAAAATCAGCATAATCGAGCCAGCTAGCCGGCGCATCTTAGTCAGCTTGAAT